AAATTTTGGTTTCGTCACTCGTTCTTCACCTCGATAGAGGTTTTTTATTTGATATCAATAGTTTTGTAAACGCTATTTTCCAAGTTAAAGATGCAAGACCCATGGATTTGAATATTCTTCAAATACAATGAAAATATGGATTTTTAGGTTATTTTTGGATCAAAATGATATAAATTATGGATCATAATGAGGAACAGAGGTTTTAGCAGTGGTGTGTGGTATGCACATTTTTTTTTCTTTGACTTGATGCTAAAATTGATGAATTTTTAAAAAGAACCTATGCAGTCTTTTTCGAGAATGTGATCATTATGTGTCCGGCCAGACGGTCAAATTTTGATTTTTGACCGATTTTGCCACCTGAACTTGAAATTTTTAAGTCGCAATTGGCACAATTCGATAGCTTACTTTAAGAACTTTCCAACGAATATGCATATGCCTTGGGTAAGTCAAGTATAGGTGCCACAGCGATTGTTTGAAAAAATGGCCATTTTTACACTATCGAAGGCCATATCTTGAAAACAAGAATTTTCTGAAATATGAGCTATGCGGCAAATTATAGCTTAGATTTGGGCCTAAAATCGGTGAAATTTTCAAAAAAATCCTTGAGCTTGTTTTCGAGGTAATGGACGGTATGTGTCCGGTCGAATTGTATCTTTTTGGTTTTTGGCCAATTTAGCCACCCCACATTGAAATTTTTGGACCGCAAATGGCACCATTCGATAACATACTACAAGACCTTTCCAACGATATGCATATGTCCGGGGTGTGTCAAGTGGATGTGCCTCGGTGAAGTGAATTTTGGAGGCCGGCCACGGCCAACATGGCGGCCAAATCGAAAAGTGCCGGTACAAAAAAGTCTTAGTTTTTTGTGTACATTAATCACAGAAAGTTTCAAAAAGATCAGAATCGAGTACGCAAAATCGCGGACAGACAGATATACCAAATTATTTTTATAGGAAAATATAGGAAAATCATATGACATTTTCAAGTTGCTCAATTTTTCGAACGGATTGATCGATTTCGACGGTTAGGGAGTCGTTGGAAAGGTATTGAGCTCTAGAATCAGAATATCGAACTTTTAGGGGTCAATGACCCTATTTAGTGCCATATATGGCCGCAGAACTGAATTTTGACCCTTTTCTTGAAGGGACCATATTTTGAAGACGGTTGGACCGATTTTCAAACTTTGACATTTTTTCTTGATCTATGGCCCAAGGGCTATCCAACCATACATCAATCGTGTCCAAAGGCCTTCCAGGCTAGAATTTGGAAATTACGTGTATATATAGCAAGTCGACTTTTCAACACACTAAGGTGGTTTCGTCACTCGCGCGAACTGCCGTCTGCTGTGATTTGGTGTGATCAGAATGTTGAAATTTGCTATCTCTATCACCCAAATCGTTGTCCAATACTATCTCGCTCTCCATGCATGTATAATTGTTTACAGCAGACATTCCATTCACACACAACTCACATTTATATTTTGCTACGCAATAAAAATCGTCGACACAAAAATCAAAGCGATGACCAAATACATTGTTAATAATTTCATTGCGCAGCAAAATATAAGTGCGAGATGTCTGTTGTTTTTTACTCTTGGAGTGCTCTATACCGAGTCTCCGAGAGTTTCATATAAACTCGCCTTGCAATAGCCAAATGACGGCCATTGATTCAATCACAATTGGTATTCGCTTACTATTCCATGTGATACCGGCAAGTTTATATGAAACTCTCGGAGACTCGGTATAGAGCACTCAAAAAGTGAAAAAAATCCAGATCGTGATTTGGATGATAAGGAATGCGATTTATTTCATTCTGATTTCACCAGGTGATACAGTATTTGTATTGGAAGTATAAATAAAAACGTAAGGATTCGTATCCAACTTCATATCTATCACACATGCAATTGTTTGGGCAGTGAAAGCTGTTGTATCTTAAAAAGCGTCAAAAAATCTACTAAATTCGATCTGTCATGTGAAAATAATTCTGCACACACAACTTTTTCATTACGATTAAAATGTCGAATTACGTTCCAACAAAACAGCATTTGCGGGAAGCAATGCTTTTGTACTTTAATCAAAAGAAAAGTGCTTCTGAATGTCATCGTTTGTTGCCGGAAACGTATCCCAAATATTCAATTTCAATAAGTGTATGTGAAAAAGGGTTTAGACAAAGAGCGTCCAGGCCAGCCAAGAAAATTTGAAGATGAAGAATTGGAATTGTTACTCGATGAAGATCCATGCAAAACGCAAGAAGAACTCGCTAAATCATTGGGAGTTACTCAAGCAACCATTTCACAACGTTTAAAAGCATTAGGGTTCATCCAAAAATTTGGAAACTGGTTGCCGCACGAATTGAAACCGAGAGATGTTGAAAGGCGTTTTACCATCTGTGAAATGCTGCTCGCAAGACAAAAAGGCAAGTTATTTTTGGATCGAATTGGTACGGGCGATGAAAAGTGGATCCACTACGTTAACCCAAAGCGAAAAAAATCATACGTTCGACGCGGTGAACCAGGACCATTGCAAGCAAAGGAAGATATTCATGGTTTCAAGGTAATGCTCTGTATTTGGTGCGATCAAAAGGGTATCGTGTATTATGAGCTGCTGGAACCGGGTGAAACAGTCACAGGAGATCGCTATCGACTACAACTGATGCGATTGAAGCGAGCATTGGACAAAGATCGGAAAGAATGGAGGGAAAAACACAACCGGTTAATTCTTCTTCATGACAATGCTCGGCCACATTCCTCGGCTGGGAAAAAGTAGTGGCTAGCGATGGACAATAATTTGAATAAACAAATGTGTACCATGTTCTTGAAATAAATGCCCAATTTCAGTGAAAAATCCTTACGTTTTAATTTATACTTCCAATAAATCGAAAAAAAAAAAATATAGATACATCCGCTTCGCTCTTAAAAAAATCCATTCCAAAAGAACTATAGACAAACTTGAGAGCAAAAACACGACATATCGCTTATTTACTTTTGCTCGGATGTCGTGGTTTTGGTCTCAACTTTGTGTGTCGAATTTTTGCTCTCAGTACCACGCACATATATTCGGACATGGAAAAAAACGACTGATTCGTGTTCGAAAACATGTTTTTTGAGGGTGATAATTTTTCGACAGATTCCAATGCTTTAACCAGGTGTGTGCGGAAAAGTAAAACAGAATACATTGCATTTTCTTTTTTGCAATCACATTTGTAATGTAAGCATTCGAACATAGCTACCTACAATTCCAGCGACAAGAACCTGAAAGACTAAATAAAAATAAAAGACATACCTATATCATTGAAATAAACATACGATGAATGATTTTGTGTAAGCACAAGAGAACAAAGAAATTAAAAATGGTAGATGTCTTTCGTTATTTTGATATGCAATTGCATTATCATGATAGAAAAAATGTATAAATCACGTGCCTTTTAAATGTTTACAATATACATGTATAATAATATCATTTGAATGTTATGTGCGTTTTGCGTACGTCTTGTGGGTGCTTAGCTGTAAATTAGTTGTGAGACGATTGTCAAACATTTGCATTCAAAAAATATATCACAGATGCTGTGTCATCCCATTGTTTGTCATTAAAACGATATCCTGGCATATGTAGCGATTTCAATTCGATTTCGGTTCGAATATCCGTTAGCAGCTAAATTTACATATAAAAATCGAATAACATCTCGCTTCTCATTTAGTAACGTTAGGTTGATCACAGCTAAAACTTGTGCACATTTTAATCGAGTGTATCAAAGTGTATCGAAAAGATCGAATCTAGGTAAACCGTCCATCAGTGAATCTATATCATTTAAAACTCTTCGAGGCATTTCGATTTTCACTTAAGAGGCTATTTTTTTAAATCAGCCCATGTGTAGTTAAAACACTTTTTTTTTTCAAATTCAGATCAATTGAAATATTTCTGAACTCACTTATCAAAATATTGTTAAAGGTGAAATTCAATTGCAAAAAATGAAAATTTTCTATACGACCATTTTTCGATTTTTGTTTTTTTCGGGTCTGAAGAAAAAATAAATTCTTCAAAAAATAGAGCAAAAATACCATTTTATTTTGCAATGATAAAATGTGTGACAATGTTTCAGAAAAGACATTTTAAATAAAGTGACCGTTAGATAATAAATTAAGATTAATTATTTTACGTAACCACCATGATTATGCAGGAATAATTTTTGTGATATAATAATAGTGTAGTCAGATAGACGAAATATCTTCAATTCTGTGTATATTATGTGATACATTAAACGATTACAAATAAATAATTAAAAATCTCTGTTTGTTCCAGGGCCTTCTAAAGATGTCTGATGTTCAAGCCGATGTACCACCAGCCGATGCACCACCAGCTGACGCACCACCTCAAGCCGAAGGTAACGAAGGAGATGAAGTGCCACCTCCAGTTGAAGGCGGTGAACCGTAAGAGCGTTTGGAAACACACACACACGCACATACACACACACACACATGATATTTTTTGGAATTGTGTTTTTCAGAGCACCACCAGCAATAAGTCAACCATCAGAAAATCCAACATTTACATTGTTCTATTTCAATGTAAAAGCATTGGCCGAACCTGTTCGTTTCTTGTTCGCATATGGAGGTCAAGAATATGAGGACGTTCGTGTGACACGTGATGAATGGCCAGCTTTAAAACCAAGTGAGTGAAATTAAATATATTGCCATAAAGAAATTTATCGAAATTAGATGTTTATTATTTTCATCCATTAGTGCAATTATTGATACTCATTATGATAGTTTCATGTATGTAAATTTAATTATCGAAAGCTCGAATATGACTGTAATAATTTGTATGGTTTTATGTAAACGAGTCTTCTATAATTATAATACCGTAGCATTTCTTTGGCGATTTATATTAATAAATTAATATATATACTAATATAACAATATAATATATTAAAACTACAATTTTAATTCTCTGAGAAATTGAAATATTAATTAAGACAATTTTTTGAGAATGCAATCTCTGATACTTCCAAAAAAATCATTTATTCTCCATTTTGTTTTTTGACTGTAATAAGACAAACATCTAAATCAATTAATTATTATCACTTGATGTTATGCAATATAATACATTGAAAGTAGTAAGCATGTAATAAATTGGTTCATATAATGTGCAATCATATTTTCTTATTCAAACAAGAAATAAACCTGATAAATCATTTTAGGATTCCTATTAAAATATTAATTTGTAAGGTTTCCTTATAATATGAGAACATTTTATCAGGAAACCTTTGAATAATCGTATAGTCGTTTGATAGTATACATTGGTCATTAAACTCTAATGATGGTACGAAATTTGTTGATTTAAGTATATATATATACGTATTTAACTACAAGATTCACATTTTTTTAATGTGTCGCGAATCACTATATGACAATTGATTATTCTCCGTTTGTGATTTGTCACTCAAATTTGATCAATGCAATCAGTCGATTGATTCGATCATCAGTTTCACGAGTATAACGAAAGTTTGGGCTGGATTATTTTACAATCATTAAATGTAACGATTTGAAAACAATCAATATGTATTCAATTGTGCCAAGTATTTGAATTTATTCATGACTCCTGACACCCTCGTATCAACGCCATTCCTCATTGCGGTCGTTCAACGACATTTTGAATACAGAAGCAGAGATGTGTATATAAAAATAGTTTCGCTTTTTTGTATTGTTGCCAAAGTTAGCCGAGGTCGAAATGGGCTTTTGAAATGTGATCGAAATCGTTTAATTGAAAAGTGATTTCGTGAGAAAAGAGAATTAGACTCAAATCTTCATTATTTTCATTTTAACGAACTTTTAATTATTTGGGGATTTATTTTGTTTTTCTTTTCAAATATTTATGCAAACGACGTACACCTATCAAATCAAAAAACAAAATAAATTTCGGCAATTATCGACTATGAATCGTCACTTGTACAGAGAGAGTATCTAAAAATTGAACATCGAACTACGAATCAGTAATCGATGAGTTATTTCCGATCTAATGAAATTAGAACGTTTTTTTTACGTCGAATGAAAATGAAAGCATGTTGATCAAAACTCAGTCTAAACAAAAATAGAAATGAAATATGGTCATGCGGCACACAGTATTTTTAGCGTCAGTCCCAATGGGGCAAATTTTCAATAGTAAGAGAGCAATAAATTTATTATCACTTTGTTGTTTTTTAGCAATGCCAATGGGCCAAATGCCAGTGCTCGAAGTAGATGGACATCGTGTGCATCAAAGTATTTCAATGGCCCGCTATGTGGCGAAACGTGTTGGATTGGCCGGATCGAATGATTGGGAAAATTTAATAATTGACACAGCCGTTGATACGGTCAATGATTTTCGCTTGAGTGAGTATTTCAGTTTCATATTTGTTTAGAGTTAAAAGAATATATTCCTCAAAACCCTGTAACAAAAGAATTATCTTTTACACTTGATATCACCGAAGAAATTGCTGTTGTCTCCTACGAACCTGACGATGAAGTGAAGGAGAAGAAAAACATTACACTAACAACAGAGGTCATTCCATTTTACTTGGAGAAATTAGATTCGATCGCACAAGAAAACAGCGGCCACTTGGCACTCGGACGAGTATGTATAATCACATTTGGTTTTCTAAGATTCAATTCAAACGAAATTAATTCGTTGTTTTTATCTTGTAATTACAGTTAACTTGGGCTGACATTTACTTTGCTGGTATATTGGATTATCTCAACTACATGGTTAAAATCGATTTGATTGAAAAATATCCCAACTTGAAGCGTGTCGTTGAAGGTGTCACAAGTTTGGAACAAATCAAAGCATGGCTGGAAAAGAGACCACAAACTGATGTTTAAACGAAAAGAAATTGAATAACAACCTTACTTCAAAATTCACCACATTTTAATATAAACGAAAATAATGTTGCACAATCCAAACATGTATTTTTACATATATCCACATTTATTTGCATTACGATTTATTTGTCACCTCCAATTACAATTGATTTAAAAAAGAGAGAAAAATGAAATAAAGCACAATAATTAAAAAGAAATCATATGATCCATATCTATGACAGCAATTTCAGAAACCATTAGTATCTTCAGGAGAATGTTTCCAAACCGGCTTGCGTTTTTCTATGAAACTATTAATGCCTTCCTGTCCATCAATGGTTGCAATATTATCAACCATTTCTCGCTCACCGTGTTTCAAAGCCGATTTCAATGTCATTTGGTTTTGTTCGTAGAAAAATCGTTTACCACGCTGAATAATTGAACGACTTTTTGATTTGATTTCATAACAAATTCGATTAATCTCCTCATTCAATTCATTTTCAACAGCAACAATTCTTGTTATTTATCCAGATCGTACTTCCCGTTAATAACATACAGTAGTGTCAAAAATTTTCGGGCCTAACATAGAAACACACATTGTATTTTTGAACGACTATATTTATTATTTAATATGGTCCTCTTGAACACGAATGACACATTCATTTCGATACCCCAATGCTTTCAGTGCTGCTGAAAACCACTCGCGGTATCTTAGTCCTCCCATAGGTTGAAAATATCGTTCATTTTCTTC